TCCAATGATTGAGACTCGGTGGCTACACAGAAATTAACCCGTGTCTCCCATAGGTAAGTGAGGAGCGCAGCTGAACCACCACTCTCCCCATGTTGTTGTTGTTGTTAAGTGCTATCGAGTCAGTTCGACTCATAGCAAACCTGTACAGGGTTTCCAAGAAACAGCTGGTGAGCTTGAACCCCATGATAAATAGTAATGTTGTTGTTATTGTTAAGTGTGGTCCCGACTCATAGTGACCCTGTATAGGGTTTCCAAGGACAGGCTGATTAGTTTGAACCACCCACCTTGTGGTTAGCAGTCCAGTGCTTACCCAATAGTGCAGTTCCAGAACTCCAATAGACAGTAATAACCTTTGGGGCCAGATATGTTTTGGAATCCGAACTTTTTATATCTTAGAAAGCTGACAAGCGTATATTATATAACATCCCTGAACCAGGCCTGGGGCAGTGCACCTCCCTCTCTCCCGCCTCTCCCAAATCACACCTTGGAGCAAAAATGGGAATATTCACATACATGAGATAAATAAATTATTAATAGCTAAAGACCGGTTCAAACTCATCAAGTGTTCCTCGGAAACCTTATATAGGGTCGCTGTGAGTCAGAACTGATTCGACAGCACTTAATGACAACAACGAAAGACCAGTTACATTCCTGACAGTGAGTTTTAGAGTCATTCTGATGGTTTATTTTTCAGAGCATTTTAGATACTGGGGTTTCTAGTGTACGTTGAGTCCTGCCGCCCATCTAGGAGCACAGAAAGGAGCCCTGGCGGGGCACAGTTGTCAAAGCAGCAGCTGCTTGCTAATAGGTTGGCAGTTCGCATCCACCAGTCCTTTGACAGTTCTACTCTGCCCTACAGGGTCGGTTATGAGTGGGAATCAAGTGGTTTTGGTTTAGCATAGAGGCTGTGTGTGCGGTGGTCACAGGGAGGGAGGCCAGATGCCAAGGTCAAATCCCAACTTCACCCACTTTTTTTTGTTGTTGTTGTTAATTAAATGTTTTTATTTTGCACTGAGTGAAAGTTTACAGGGCACATCATCAGTTTCACATTCAACCATACATATGACTTGTTTCATTACATTGATTATAATCCCCTCCATACATCATCAGTTAACAGTGTTTCTCTCTATCCTCTTTAGCTTTTTTTTTTTTTTTTGGGAGGCGAGGGGGAGGAAACTTTGCCTTTTTGGAATTTACAGTCTCGGCTTTTAGGGAAGGTTTTTACATTTGTCTGTGGATATCCAGGGCTCATGTATGAGATTACTAACAAGCATTACTGAATAATCAGATGAGGGACAGTTTGCTATGTCTACTAGGTAGCTAGAGTCTGATCCTCAGAGCCTATGGTTTGGACTGTCAACAACGCTTGGGCCCACAGGGGCTTGGCCTCCTGACCGGGTCTGCACTGTCTGCATCTGAATCCTCCTTATTTATTGATTGTTTAAGGGACGCTGCCTGTCTTAGGTGGTCAGTGCGAATTCCTCAGTCTTACCAGTCATTGAGACTCATTGCAGCATGGCAATGGCTCTGTCTTAAGTAGCCAAGGTTCCACGTGATCCTTACCCGTCTCTGGCCACACGTCCAGCATAAACAGCCGCCCTCCGAGGAAGGCAGGGAGGGAGGAGATCAGCTGGGGACCCCATGCGCCAGACGTTGCCGGCCCCAACTTCACCCACTTTTGAACTGTGCGGCCAGGGGCAGGCGACATCATTGCCCTTAACTTTTCCCATCTGTAAAATAGGCGTGATAAAGTAATTAATATGTAATGTTGTTGGGGGTGGGGATGAGATGGGAGAAAGATGAGGCTTTCTACTCCCGTAAAGATTTACACCCTCGGAAACCCTGTACAGGGTCGCTATGGGTCGGACCGACTCGATGGCACTTAACAACAACAACAACAACAATTTGTACAAAATGCATGAACGTTCAACTGGCCGCAGTTGGTGCTCATTTGTTAAATTTTGAGACATAACAGGTAAATAGATTGGAGAGGACTCCAACGGGTGATGGGGCAACCTATAGCTCAATAGGTCTTTATCAGAATGTCATGAATCACGAGGGAGGCTAGTCATTGTCTGCTTGTGGATGGAACTTCTTTCTGCGTTGCTACCGGTGGCAAGGGTGGGGCCTCTGCAGTAGGCAGGGTGGAGTGGGTGGGGCTTCAACAGCGCACTGTGAGTGGCATCATGGGATGGATATCCGCAGCCTACAGAGCGGAGTGGGTGGAGCTTCTGCACTTCCATGTGGGTGGAGCTACAAAGCAAAGCGTACCCACACACCTTGGATTTGATTGCCACTCAAGGCAACCCTATAGGTTAGAGTAGAACTGCTTCATAGGGTTTCTGAGACTGTATATAATCTTTATGGGAGCAGGCAGCCTCACTTTTCTTCAAAAGAGCGGCGGGTGAGTTTGATCTTAGGATAGCAGTCCAACGTTAAAGCACAGAAACAAATAAAAAAGAGCTTTCTCTTTTAATTAAAAGCACATGCCTAAGGGGACTTTGGAGTCCTGGTGTGGCGCTGTGGGTTAATGCGCCAGACTGCAAAGCTGTTTGAACTGCAAGGTTGGCGGTTCAAGCTCACCAGCTGCTCCTCGAAAACCCTACACAGGGTCGCTATGGGTCGGGATTGACTCGACAGCACTTAACAACAACAACAACAAGGGGACTTTAAGGAGCTCTGGTAGCGTAGTGGTTACGAATCGGGCTGCTAACCTCAAGGTCGGCAGTTCAAAACTACCAGTTGTTCCGCGGGAGAAGGACGAGGCTTTCTGCTTCTGTAAAGATTTACAGCCTCGGAAACCCTGTATAGGGTCACTATGAGTTGAACCGACTCCATGGTTCTTAACAACAAGGGAACTCTCAAGGTGCTTTGGTGGCACAGTGGGTTAAGCATTGGACTGCTAACCACAAGGTCATCAGTTCAAACCCACTAAGCCCTCCTCAGGAGAACAATGAGGTTGTTTGCTCCCGTAAAGATTTACAGTCTCAGGAACTCTATACAGCAGTTGTCCTTTGTCCTGCAGTTTGGCTGTGAGTCAGAATTTACTTTTGGGGAGTGGGTTTCATGAGACATTTGTCTCAGTGGGGGGATGGAAATGCTATATATTCCTTTGAGGTGGTGGCTACATCGGTGTCTATATTTTTCAAAACCCACTGAAGTGCATACTTAAATTCCATCTCCTTAAAGTGTTGTTGTTGTTAAGTGCCGTTGAGTCAATTCCTACTCATAGCCACATTGTATAGGGTTTCCAAGGAGCGGCTGATGGGTTTGAACCACCAACCTTCTGCCATGGGGTCTAGTGCTTAGCCTACCGCCACAGGGGGATGGGGAAATGCGCTGAAGACACGCTCACAGGCTGTATTTTCCAGTGCTGGTGGGAATGCAAAATGGTACCTCTGTTCTGGAAAACAGTTTGGCGGTTTCTTAAAAACTGAAACAGACACCTACCATATGACCCAGCAATCGTACTACAAGGTGTTTACCCAAGGGAAACGAGAGCATATGTCCACACAGAGACGTGTACGAGAATGTTCGTAGCAGCTTTATGCAGAACAGCCAAGACATTTGAAACAGCAAATGTCCATCAGCAGGCAACGAGGTAAACCGGCTTGGTCTATCCCCACATTGAGGTACGACGGAATAATAAAAAGGCATGAACTCTTGATATATGTGACAACTTGGATGCTTCCCAAAAGCATTATGTTGAGTGAAAGAAACCAGACTCAGAAACCTATGTCCTGTACAATGCTATTCATCGACATTCCTAAAACAGGCTCATGAAACTGCAGTGCTGGAGATTTGAAAGTGTAACCTTCCGGGGAACAGCGCACCTGACCCACGCCATGGTATTTTCAGTCACTTCATATTCATGTGAAAGTTGGACAGTGAATAAGGAAGACTGTAGAAGAATTGATGCATTTGAGTTATGGTATTGGAGGAGAATATTAAAAGTACCATGGGCTGCCAGAAGAACAAACAGATTTGTGTTGGAAGAAGTACAGCCAGAGTGCTCTTTGGAAGCCAGAATGATGAGATTTCGACTCTCATACTTCAGATATGTGATCAGGAGGGTCCAATCTCTGGAGAAGGACATCATGCTTGGTAAAGTGGACCGTCAGTGAAAAAGAGGAAGACTCCAAAGAGATGGGTTGATACAATGGCAGCAGAAATGGGATTATGAGGATGGTGCAGGGCTGTTCAGTGTCTCCTTCTCTTGTGTCCAGGTCACTGAGTCATAAAACAACTACCCGGGGGGGGGGGTAGGGGAGTGGTACTGACTGGGAGGGGGCCCAAGGGAGTCTTCTGGGTGGGGGAATGTTCTGAACCAAGAATAGGATAAGGAAAGTGAAGCTTTCACTTTGGATGCAAACCTCAACAATCATGGTAAATAATATTTGACTGCAATATATTTTAAAAATAAAAAGTAATGCAAGACAAAGTCACAATGAGCAAAAATATCAACAGCTTAAAGACAGGATCTGACCTGAATTTCCAAGACTGACCTCCCTTATCTCCCTTTAGTTCCGGTTCTGGTCCTACATCTACATCTGGATGCAGCGACAACCACCTATACCAAAGTAAAATCTCACCCAGCCCGGCCTCTGGGCTGCCAGTCACTTAAGGTTAATGAATTTGCTCTATGGAAGTTACTTCAATGAGAAAGTTAAGGAAAAAGGAACACAGGCAGTTTCAAGAACGCCCACAATTATTAAAGGGAGAAAACAAAATTCCATTAGAATGATTATAGGGAGGAAATGGGGGAATAAAAGGGAAGTAAATAAAACAAAAGACGGTGGGGAAAAATCAAATGAATGTTTGTTGAATGAATATAACTATGAACGAGAAGGCAGGGCCCCAAACACTCCTGGATCTCCCAGTAAATAAACAAGTGAACAAGATAATTAAGAGAGGAATATCCAGCCCCCTGGCCCTACACACACACACTCCTCTTGAACGCCTGTCAGCTCTACTGCTCTGCGTTGGCAGCTACGGAGAACATGGCCCGGCTGCCAGGAAACCGCCGGCCCCTGCCCACCCTGTCCACCACTAGCCCGCCACTGAGCGGCAATGGTGAGGAGGTAGGAGGAGAGGCTGCTCTGTCCCGCAGCTACCAGAAGGCGTGACCCCTTCCCATTATTCTGTGAGCTTTTGAGGGTAGAAACCAGGGTCTAATTTTGCTGCCGCTGTATCTCCAGCGTGCTGCTGAATGGCACACAGTGGGCGTTCAACAAATGTTCAATTGTCTAGCATAGGCAATTTAGGAATCTTTGGATGTTGGGGTCCTTCCCGCTCATAGAGGAAGATTGGGGCGTCCCTAGAGGGGAGAGGGAAAGGACAGAGGTTTCTAGATTCGGATTATGTCTCTCCTTGCTAGGACTTGTGCCCAGAGACGGGCAGGAGCTATCACACAGCGAGCTCATTTACCCAAGTATACCATTAAAGAGGAAGACCCCCAGCGAGTTGGATTAGCAAAGTGGCGGCACCAATGGGCTCAAGCTTGGCAACAATTGTGAGGTTGGCCCAGGATCGGGCAGTGCTTCGTTCCGTTGTGCGTAGGGTCGCTATGAGTCGGTACTGACTCGATGGCACCTAACAACAACAACAAACCGTTTCCAGGACTAAATCTAGCCCAAGCTCAGCAATGCCAGAATCTGTTTAGAGCCCCACACGCCCTCCACTTTCAGACGAGCAGAGAATGGCCTGCAGAACAGCCAATGGGAGCACGAAGGGTACGCATTACCTCATCAGGCAGTGCAGCCATTGGTTGTGGAGTCCCGGTAGGTGGGATCTGGGCGCAAGCTCCCAGGGACCTGGAGGGAGTTGTTGGAGCTAGCAGGAAGGTTCTTAGCGGAGAAGGGGCAGGAGGAAAGAAGGGGAGGTTTCTGGCAAATCTGCTAACTGTGAGCATGTCTTTATAAGCATGTCAAAAAAACCCACCCTATGTCATTCCAGACTGAGTCCCCTCGCCTGCCCAGCTTGAGGCTGATCCTGGGGGCAAGCAGAAGTGTGGAAGGGTCCCCTTCCCCCAGCCCAAATTTAATTAAATTAGGAGCCCCTCATATTAGGACGCTCCCTGCTTCAAACACACACACTTAGGGTCTCCCATCAAATTGGACCTCAATTTGCAACGGTGAGACACCACCGTATTAGCCCACCACCGAGTTGGTACCACACTCCGGTCACAGATTGCCTGTCCCTTCTGAGCCCTTTTCCTGTTATATGAAACGGGATAGACAGAAGTTCCCACCTCTGAGAAGTGGTGTACCAGGTGCTGTGAAACACAAGGTAGGTCTTGCCCCAACGTCATGTCTGGTGGGGAAAACAAACAGGTAAGAAGAGTAAGCCATTTTAGAGGCTGTAACACCAACTTGGTGTGGCACTGTGAATTCATGCGCCAGACTGTAAAGCCGTTTGAACTGCAAGGTCGGCGGTTCAAGTTCACCCGCTGCTCCTTGGAAACCTATACAGTGTTGCTATGGGTCGGAATCGACTCGAGGGCACTTAACAACAACAACGCCAACT